CCTGGTGAGTCACTGAGGCCTCTTGGGGAGCGCGGCCTCCCCCAGGGCAGTCTGAGTCTCCCGAAGGATCCCATTCCCCTCCCCTCAAGGACAGGCTTGTGTCCCAGGGACTCTGAGGCTGGGCTGGTGAGGAGTAGGGGGTTCGAGGCAGAGGGAGGTGTTGGGGTCCAGCTTGGGGGAGGAGCCAGGCTGATATAGGGGAGCAGGGCAGCGCCAGCTCTCACTTCTCTGTCCTGACCCAGGAGGCCTTGAGGACCAGCCCCTCAACCCCTCAGGGTCAGGCCCCCAGAGTGGTGAGTGGGGGCTCTGAGAGGAAGGTGGGCGGGGTCCAGGGGAGGCAGACGTGGCTTCTGTCCTAGGTTCAGGCCCCTCTGGAGATGGTGACGTGGACAGGCCCCTCCCCTGCCTGGGCCTCAGTTTCTCCAGGTGTAAAGGAGAGAGGCCTGTGGGTGGGAAAGTTCCTTTCAGCTCTGACCTCCTGAGAGAGGAGAACTCCCAGGGAAGCCTCCCAGGACCCGATTCCGCAGGGGCCTGTCCTGTCCCACCTGCAGCAGTGACGGTGACCTGGGGCAGGGGAGGGGAGCAGCGCTGTGGTTCAGGACGGTCAGGCTCTTTCCCTGCATCTCTGGGGCTCAGCTCTGGTGCAGGGAACAAGGGCTGCGGGTCAGACTCCCGGGTTCCCTTCCCAGCTCTGCTGCTTCCTGGCTGGGGGTCCTGGGGCAGGCAATTACCCTCTCTGAGCCTCAGTTTGTGCATCTGTGAAATGGGTTGTGAGGGCGGCAATTCCATGTTGCACAACTGCTTGTAAGGGTTGGAGGTCTTGAAGGAAAGACCTGGCACGCGCCTGCACACAGTAGGTGCTCACATCAGTGACGTCATTTCCACTCCTGTTACCATGCTCAAGGTCTGGGGAGATACCTGGAGGCTTTGATTGGGGTCTCGGTGGCCTTCGTCCTGCTGCTCTTCCTCCTCCTCTTCCTCGTCCTCCGACGTCAACGTCAGAGCAAACACAAGATATCGGGTGAGTAGGGAATTGTGGGACCCATGGGCCCACAGAGGGTGCACCAGCCAGAGGGAACCCAAACACACGGGGTGTCAGTTTAGAAAACCGGTTCCAGGGAAACGTAATGTCAGCATGCATTTACAAACTTCAGTATTCATGGAGTTTTTTTCTATCTCATAAAATATTTGAAACATCGATGCAGGAATATTTTTAGTTTTCCTTCTTCCCCTCAAGTTGCATGTGTAGAATGGGGGTTCTAATGTTCCCAGGGCTGAGACTCTGTCCATCTTCACCCAGACCAGAGGAAGACTGATTTCCAGCGTCCTGCAGGGGCTGCGGAGCCAGAGCCCAAGGACAGGGGCCTGCTGAGGAGGTAATTGTGCCTGAAGACCCCAGACTCCCACCCGCCAGAGCCCATATACTGCCCCTCACACTCCCGTGTCCTCCCCCAGGTCCAGCGCAGCTGCTGACGTCCAGGAAGAAAATCTCTGTAAGAGAAAGACAAGGGACAAATGGGGGTGCTGGGGAGACCCAAAATTTCAGTAGCAACAGGGAGGGGCTGGGAAGGGTCTGGGGCTCCGTGGAAGATGGTCTCGCCCCCCACTGTGGGACCTCCCTGGATCTCAGTGGCCCTAGTGGGAGCTGGGCAGGGGCCGGCGGGACTCAGAGGTCTCAGGGAACCTTCCCAGGACCTTCCTTGCTCTGTCCCTGCAGATGCTGCCGTGAAGGACACACAGCCTGAGGACGGGGTGGAGCTGGACAGTCAGGTGAGACCTCGCCCCTGTCCCGGGCACCAAAGGCCTCCTGGTGCCAGATCTAATCCTGCAGGACTTCTCTGTCCTCCTTCCCCTGGCTCTCAGCATCGTCACAGTGGACCCCTCCTTGTCCAGCACGCTGCCTCCCGCCTGCTGTGACCTCACTCTCTCCTGGTGTCCTGGGACCTCCCGGGCCTCCTCCTGGGTCCCCTTCTCGCTCCTCCTCCTCTGTTTGGCCGTCTGGTGGTTAGAGCGCTCCCCAGGCCTCAGGAGGATGAGGAATAGATGAACCACCCGGGTCCCCTGGGCTCCCTCCATTCATTCATCCAGCGAGTGTTCCCAGGAGCTCACTGTGGATCGGGCTCCCTGTGGGAGCTGCAGACACAGCAGGGATCAGAGCCGCCCCCGCCTCCTGAGCTCACCTCGTGGTGGGAAACAAAATGCAAATAAATGCATGTGTGCAGGAGTGCAACGTGCTGTAAGAAACATAAACCAGGGAAAGGGCAGAGAGTGTGGGGCAGTGGGGCCAGTCTGAATGTAAGGGGAGGGCTGTCTGCTCAGCTGTCATCTGAGAAGCCTGGACGGAGGGGGCCACAGGATCCTCTAATGGACAAGCCCCTGCAGACAGAAGAAACAGCCGTGCAAAGGCCCCGAGGCAGCAGCAAGCTCTTGCAGGAAGGTGGGCATTAGGCTGCAGCCAAATGGGCAAAGTCAGAGTGAGGAGGAGAGGCCAGAACCACAGGGAGGGAGCGGCCAGACCCTCCACGGCCTTAGGGCATCCCTGAGATTCCATCAGGAAAGGGATGTAATCAGATCACCCTGGGAACAGTGGGGAAAATTGACTCCAGGAGGTCAGGGGGATTCAAGGACACCCCCCACCAGTGTCTCTCCAGCAGAGACCACCCGATGAAGACCCCCAGACAGTGACATACGCCCAGGTGAAACACTCCGGACCTAGGAGAGAAATGGCCTCCCCTCCCTCCTCACTGTCCGAGGAATTCCTGGACACAAAGGACACACAGGCGGAAGAGGACAGGCCGATGGACACTCAGGCTGGTCCTTTCCTCTCCAGGCCCCCAGGCCTCCCCCACCCCCATCACATTCCTTCCCTCTCACTCTCCCCCACTGCAGGCTGCTGCATCTGAAGACCCCCAGGATGTGACCTACGCCCAGCTGCAGAGCTTGACCCTCAGACGGGAGGCAACTGAGCCTCCTCCAACCCAGGAAGGGGAATCTCCAGCTGAGCCCAGCGTCTACGCCACCTTGGCCATCCACTAGCCCGGAGGGGACCCAGACCCCACACTCAGCAGAAGGAGACTCGGGACTGCTGAAGGCACAGGAGCTGCCCCCAGTGGACACCAGTGAACCCCAGTCAGCCTGGACCCCTAACACAGACCACGAGGAGACGCTGGGAACTTGTGGGACTCACCAAAGATGACTAATACCGTCGCATTTTGGAAATAAAGCAACAGACTTCTCAATAATCAATGAGTTAATAAGAAAAAAAAAAAAAAAAACAGACGTAAAGGCCAGGTGTGGCACTTGGGAGGCCGAGTCGGGAGGATTCCTTGAACACGAGAGGTTTAGGCTGCTGAGGCTGCAGTGAGCTATGACTGTGCCACTGCACTCCAGCCTGTGTGACAGAGGGAGACAAAGAAAAAAGAGTGAGTGAATGTTTTAAATTCAATGATAATGTCAATATTACACATCGAACTTATGAAATGGGAAAATTAAGAAGCATAGCCAGGTGCAGTGGCTCACGTCTGTAATCCCAATACTTTGGGAGGGTCAGTGGGGAGGGTGGCTCGCGCTCGGGAGTTCGAGTCAGTCTGAACAGCATAGTGAGACCCCATCTCTACAAAAAATAAAACTAGTCCGGCATGTGGCACACACCTGTAGTGCCAGCTACTGGAGAGGCTGAGGCGGGAGAATCACTTTGGGCACAGGAGGTTGAGGCTGCAGTGAGCCAAGATGGTACCACAGCACTTCAGTCTGAGCAACAGTGAGACCCTGTCTCAAAAAAAAAAAAAAAAAAAAAA